GTAGGAACACCCGTTGGTGTGTGCTTACAGTGTATGCCTGGTTTGTGAGTTAGATCAGGTCATCAGCATCAAGCAATGTGACCTCAGGTCAGGCTGCTAAATTAGAAACTCTCAAAACAGGCTAAGCAAATGCTATCTTTCGTTAGATCAACAACAACAATTTTCACCATTGTATGCATAAACTGTGTGTTACTGCAGGATCTAAATAAATAAAACATTTGTAATGTTGGTACAAGTTAACCCACATAGAGAAAAACCAATGGAAGAGTAATGTATATTTCAACCAATAACTGAGGCCCTTTTCAGTACGCTGAAAAAAGCCTCACTTATTTGTGATTATTTCTAGTGCTCCTCTTCCCCTCTGTTTATTTTCTTCATGTGAATTCACTTTTATTATTGACTACTTTGTTACACTTATATTTTAATTTTAATGATTAAAATCTGAATGACAACTAAAGATGAATAAAAGTCACTCTACCAGGACTGCAACAATTCATTAATAATCCACAGTTAGAGAGGAAACTTTGGGCAATGTTTCGTCCATCACTTGAAATAAACATCTTTGTATTAATATTATTGTGTTCGTGTGCTTGAACCTAAGACAGCAATTTCCTGCTTGATTGACAGGTCTCCACATATTGTGCCGGCTGGCACTTGGCACATGTCAAGTAATGATATCTTGGAGCCTATACCAAAATATCTCCAGACAAGCATATTGATGCCAGTAACCTATATAGTTGGCAGTGTTGACAAGTGGGAACATGGGCACCCAACATAGCTGGGCAAAATGCCAGTCTCACCACACCTTGTTGGTGATCCAACCCATGCCAACACACACACTTTCACACCACAGATAAATAGGCTCACTCACCCTCTTCTTAACTACAGTACATTTATAGTATTTATGTAGTGTGTCCTGCCAAGGTCTTTTCCACCTTCTTTCATCCTTTTACAATTCCGGATATACAAGTACTGGTATAAAACTTAAAAATTTAATATAAATATCTCACTAATACAGTATAATAAAAATGAAAAATATTGTAAATTGTATTCCATCAATATATACAGTATGTACTATATGAATTTATAAGTTTGTAAAACAAGTAACTTGTTTGTCATTACTACTGTCACCCAACAATTGCCAGGTTTTGCAGAAAATCTGATTTACAGCATGTGGTACCACAGCTGTCATGTGCTGTATACAGTACAGTGGAACCTCGCTTTTCGGCCGTAATCCATTCCAGAAGATTGGCCTAAATTCGAAGCAATATTTCCCATAAGAATTAATGTAAATACAATTAATCAGTTCCAGACACTCAAAAAATATTAACAAAAAAACACATTTTTTAAAGATTAGGTATAGTTTTACATACACAAAACAATGAGAACTAAAAATAAATACACGAACAATTAAATCAGTATTACATACCTTTATTGAAGACTCTTGTTGACTTATGGAAGGTTGAAGGTATTGCAGCTCTTCAGTGGTTAGCGCTTCTCTGTGGTCCTCCTCCAAGTCTTCCACAACAGGCAGAGGGTCAACAAGGTCAGGGTCAGCCTCAAACCCTTCAAAATTCTTCTCGAGGACACAGTCTGGCCACAATTATCTCCAAGAAGAGTTCAAAGTCCTGGAAGTCACTCCCTGCCAAGCCTTACCTAAAAGGCTTATGCAGTGGAGGATATTGCAGTGATTCCTCCAGAACTCTCTTAGGGTCGATTCAGTGTCCGAGGTCACTTCAAAGCACTTTTGAAACACTGCTTTTGCGTAGATTTTGAAGTTAAAAATGACCTGCTGGTCCATGGGCTGGATGAGAGGAGTGGTGTTAGGAGGCAAGAACTTCACTATTATAAAACTGAAATCCCTAGACAATTGGTCTACCAAGTTTGGAAGATGAGCAGGAGCATTGTCCATTACTAGGAGGGGCTTGAGTGGCAATTTCTTTTCCCGGAAATATTTTTTCACACTCAGGAAAAACATTTCATGGACCCAGTCAATGAAAAGTTGCCTCATGACCCATGACTTATGATTAGCTTTCCACATTACACAATTTACTCTTGACAGTGTTTTTCTTGAACACACTGTGATTTTCAGATTGATACACGAATAAAGGCTTCACTTTGATATCCCCACTATCATTGGCACAGAACAAGAGAGTTAGCCTGTCTTTCATAGGCTTGTGTCCTGGTAGTGCCTTTTCCTCCTCCATGATGTAGGTCCACTTTGGGATTTTCTTCCAAAAGAGACCTGTTTCATCACAACTGAACACTTGTTGTGGTTGGAATTCTTCAGCCTCTACATACCCCTTGAATTCCTGCACAAATGTTTCAGAAGCATGTTTGTCAGAACTTGCAGCCTCCCCATGCCTTACAACACTGTGTATGTCACTACACTTCTTAACCCTTTCAGGGTTTCGGCCGCACTAGTATGGCTTACGCACCAGGATTTTTGACGTACTAGTACGCCTAAATTCTAGTGCCCTCAAATCTAGTGAGAGAAAGCTGGTAGGCCTACATATGAAAGAATGGGTCTATGTGGTCAGTGTGCGCGGTATAAAAAAAATCCTGCAGCACACAGTGCGTAATGAGAAAAAAAAAAAAACATGTTTTTGGATTAAAACAGCGACTTTGCACTGTATTTTCGTATGGTATTTATTGTTGTATTCTAGTTTTCCTGGTCTCATTTTATAGAATGGAAGACATATTACAGAAATTGAGATGATTTTGACTGGTTTTACAAAGAAAACTACCTTGAAATTGCGCTCAAAGTAGCAGAAATGTTCGATTTTTACCAAAGTTCAAAAGTAAGCAAATCATGATATACATCCGATACACGTCAACTGGTGAGTCTAATATTCTTTCACAAGTGCGCTGATATTATTTATACCATTTCTACACCAATGCAGTAGTCTGCATAACAGTAAATCTTCTATTTTTTTGTGAGAATAAAAATTCAAAGTGGAAAGCAAAAGAATGTAAGAGGGGCATGGGGACGCGACTAATGAACAGAGGAAATGTTATTTTAGTGCCAGGAATGTCTTTCTTGTTTATTCTGGACTCTATTCGGAAATTGGCACCTTTTGAAATTTGTGTGAAATTGGCAAAATTGCTAAATTCTGACCACTGTATTGGATAGTTTAAATCAGTAAATGGGTGGTTTCTTGTACTCATTCGATAGAAAACATGGAGTTCTAGCGAAATAGTTATGATTTTTGTCGACAAGTACACTGGAATTGGCCGAAAATAGGGCTCAAAGTGGGCAAAATCGCCGATGCATAAACATCGTCGAGACCGCTAACTTCGTGAGAGCATTATTCTGTAAGTTTTCCATCAAATTTCATACTTTTGGTGTCATTATGATTGGGAAAATATTCTCTATCTTTAAATAAGATTTTTTTTTTTTTTTAATTTGGCCGACCCTGAGAACAAGTCTCTGAGAGAGCCTGTTGACCCTGAAAGGGTTAAATCTCTCAAACCAGCCTCTGCTGGCCTTAAATTCACTAACCCCATCACAAGTACCAGGCATTTTCTTTACGAGATCCACATGCAACTGCTCTGCTTTTTCACAAATGATCGTCTATGAAACACTATCTCCCTCTAACTGTTTTTCCCTGATCCACAACAACTTCTCCACATCTTCTTTTGTTTGTGTTCTCTTTGTTAACAGGTTTACCCCTTTTGCCACATCAGCTTCCTTGATTTGTTCTTTCTTTGCCAGGATAGAAGTGATTGTTGATTTGTTTTTACCATACATCCTGGCAAGTTCCAGCACCCATACACCACTCTCATATTTTTCTATTACTTCCTTCTTAAATTCCATCATGTTGATTTGTTTTTACCATACATCCTGGCAAGTTCCAGCACCCATACACCACTCTCATATTTTTCTATTACTTCCTTCTTAAATTCCATCATGTTTCTCACTTTCTTTACCAAAGGAACTTTAATAGGAACTTTCTTGGGGCCCATGGTGATTTATGTCACAGTTGCACTTAATAAAAAAACCTCTAAAAACGATGGATTTTAAGGAAATGTTTGGATGAATGCGCGCAGTATATGCTCTCTCACTGACAGACAAAGGGAGACTAATTCACCAAAGCCCAGCATCCCGGCGGGAGCTGCGGGCTAACGTGTCTAATACGGCCGAAATACGGAGCAAAATTTCCACCAAAAAAAAATGGCCTCAATACGAATCGGCTGAAAAACAAGGTTCCACTGTATTATGACCAGTTCACTCACTCACCTAATATGGGAATAGAGAAACACTGCAGTTGGCCTACTGGCCTATGCAGATGTGGCATTTGATTAACTTAAGATGTTTGTTTCACATTTTTCCCACTAATTTTAGTTTCTTTCATTAGGAGTACATTGTCTTGTATGTTCAACCTTTTCAGCAAGGCATTCATTCATGTTAAGCAGATGAGGTCAAACTGAAAAACTAAAACAAAAATGTATGGAAATCTTAAAAACATTACTGGTAGTGTCTCTGTTTTTCTGTTGATGTTTGACTCATTTTAAAGGGTTTGTACCTTTGATTCTTCCCCTCTCATCCTTTTTCTACCATTCTTTTTTCCCCATTTTGTCTTCCCCCATCCTTTCTCACTCCCTCTACAAAATTATATTAGGACATAGGTACAGGTAGGTCTGTGAGGCATTCTTAAGTCTTAACTAAGCCTTACCTGTATGACATCATGTTTTTGACAACTTAAGTGTACATTTTGTCATCTTATACCTTAATACTGTTACCATATTTATTTTAATATACTTTTACTATGTTGGTGTCATGAGGTTGATGTATCATGTGGAAATAAAGAATTTCAGTTTGAGAGCTGACACAAGAATTTATTGGGTGTTATTTCAAAATCCTCTAGACCACCATTGGGTTTCTACAGCATCCGTGTGTAGGGAAAGACATGTGTGTGTTGTAACACCCAGGAATTATTAGATTTAGTGTATGTCTAGGTAGAAGTATTGGCTATTAATGTGATGATCTATCTCCACAGCGGAAGTCCAGCGCAGCTACAGGATGCCAATAGTCTGGACTCATCTGGCGGCAGCTCCATCCCCTGTGAGTACCTACTCAACCCTTGACATAAGAACATAAGAAAGGAGGAACACTGCAGTAGGCCTGTTGGCCCATACTTGGCAGGTCCTTTACAATACCAGTCCACTAATAAAACATTTGCCCAACCCACTTTCAGTGCTATCCTAACAATAAGCTCTGACAAATCTATTTACTCGTGTGCAAGTCCCACTCAAATCCAACCCCTCTCATTCATGTATTTGTCCAACCTAAACTTGAAACTACCCAAGGTTTTAGCTTCAATAACCCTACTAGGCAGACTGTTCAACTCATCAACTACCCTATTTCCAAACCAATACTTTCCTACATCCTTTCTTAATCTAAACTTATCTAATTTGTATCCATTATTGTGGATTCTCCCTTGGAGAGATATCCTCAGAACCTTATATCCCTTTGTTAATACCCGTCTTCCACTTATACATCTCGATCAGTCCTCACTCAGGGTAGCAGGTTGATAGACAACAAACATCCACGCAGGTATTGGCCTCCTCTTGTACTTAATGATTTTGATGTGACTCGTGCCTGTGAGTGGTTTTGAGAGTTCTACTTTGAAAGGCCACCCTGAGGCCAGACTATTCACAGCACTTAGAGCTGTGAACTTGAGAGCAACTTTGGAACATTTGCAGCAGCCTTTACATTCTTTAACTTGTGCACAACTTTTCTCATAACATTATGAAATCCTCTTGGAGGACTTCTGTCTTCTCATTTAACTTTAGTGGTAGTTTCAGAAAGTTACTTTCCCCAGCTGTGTTTTAACATAGGTGATGCCTACCCCCAGGAATATCCCAGACTATATTTTGTTTAAAATATAAGACTCTTCAACTTTGTACATTCTGGTATAAGAAATATTACCCAAAGGCATAGGCTTGCAAGAGGAAACTAGATCTCTGTCTGAAACATCACTGATCATCCAGGTTATGATGGCTGTAGGCCTGTGGGCTTCTGGCAGCAACAGTCTGGTTGACTAGATAACCAATACTGAAACCTTTCCTTAGGCCAGACTTCAAATGTTGAACTTTTAAAACTGGTCACAGTCATCACAAGGTACCAAGAAATTTAACAACAGCAAAGTTAATCTCGATTACATTAAATGTGGCGAGCCACCATGACAGTTTTTGACCAAGTTTAAAGACCAACATTAGGCATTATTTTACAGAACAACATCCTCAAGTCATCGTATAAGATTGTAATTGTGTTTCATATAAATACAGTGGTACCTCGAGTTTCAGCCATAATTCGTTCCAGAAGGCTGTTTGAGTGTCGTTACCGAACGAATTTGTTCCCATAAGAAATAATGTAAATTAGACCCCCAAAAATACACTTACAAAAGCACTTGCAATAATACACTTACGTAATTGTTCGAGTTGGGAATGGTACGAAACTCGGGGTACCACTGTATTTTGGGGCACTATTATAACCCAAAAATATTGATATTGTTCATTGTTATGACTCATTCTTTGTATTTATAAATTATTATTGTGCACCATTGTAAGTAAGTGATGTGTGGTTCATTGTTACCCCTGCTTAAGTCTCCTTGGGGCTGCGCTCGCCGGGGAAAGTGTCTCCTCTGCGAGGGCGAACCATGAAGGAATACGAGGAGCAGCTAGGCAACCTCAAAAAGGAGAACTTCTCCCTCAAGCTGCGCATCTACTTCCTTGAAGAGCGTATAGGTCAGAAGTATGACAAGGAGGACAAGGACGAACTCTACAAGACCAACATCGAACTCAAGGTCAGCACTCCACTGTAATGTGTGTTTGTGTGTACTTATTTATGTGTACCTACCAATATATGATTGCAGGGATTGAACCCTAGCTCCTGGCCCCACCTCTTTCTGCTTTCCAAATTCAGTCTCTCCTAGTCTCATGGGCCCTGTCATATTACTTCTAAAGCTGTGTATGGAGCCTGCTTCCACCTCATTTCATTTCTTTCACTTCTTTCTCTGTGGCTCCTCTGCTAATTATGTCCCCTGGCTTCATCTCTTTGTATTTCAAACAGCCTGTGACTGTTTACTGTATCCAATTCCCTAAGTATTTTGTATGTTATTGTAATGTCCTTCCTTCCATGGTCTTCCTTCTAGTGTTCTGATGGTCATTTAATATTTCCTCAGTCCATTTCAACCACCAACCTTGTTGTGCACCTTTAGATCTTCACCATATTATTTTTATGCTGTGTTATATGTTAACACCATGGTGGCATCACATTCTCCAAGAGGGCCTACCAAAACTTGTGTATAATGTCCTAAATGAATCTTTGTTACAGTTCCTGAAAGTATTTCTTAAGTTTGCTAGTTTTGTATATGCTACTTAAGTTATGTGGTTAATGTGTGTTTCTTGTGTGCAGAAGTAAGGCAGAAAATAATGGGGAATGATAAGAAGAAACTAAATGCAGGGAAAACTTTATTGGTACAAGCACCAGACAAGCCTGACCCAGGGCCAAGCTACAGGAGTAAGAAAACTAGACGCTCATCATTTGTATATAATGCTTGACCCACAGTGGGCTGTACCAAGTACTGCTGGTGAAACATTGTACCAATAAAGGCATCCTGCATTTAGTGTCTTATTATCCTGTGCTTCTAGTGATATACTTGGGGTAGTTCTTACTCTCTGATCTTTTACCTTGCTTGCCCATAGAATATTACATTACATTATTTTTGAAAGAGTGTTCAAATTGGATAATACTGAACTGTACCAGTTATCATATAGGAATCTGAGCTCTGTATTCTGTTATTATTTGTGCTCTTATGTGAGCAGCTTTACAATTTTGCTACATTTATTTTCTACTATACATCATTTGGGTGTGGCATGGACAGGTTGAAACAGAGGCACTGAAGCAAGAGTTGTATGACAAGCAAGAGTTGGTGCGGCAGGCTTCGACGGTGCTGTCAGGGCTGGAGCAGCAGTTCCAGGAGCAGGTGGCACAAATTAAAGATCAGCACGAGCAGGAGAAGGAGAAGCTGCAGAGTCAAGTCCAGCAGCTGCAGAAGGTTAGTGACCTCACTCAGTCACCTCTTAGTGAGACAGTTTCTTGTAGCAGTCACTGAGGAATGATCATTAGAATTATACAGTGATTTTGAGGGCTCTTGCATTAATGCCAAGGGTCAGTGATGATGATAATGATAATAATTATTATTATTATTATTATTGTGTTAATATCCTCATCTTAACCCTTTGAGGGTCGACAGGCCCTCTCCGAAACTCGTTCTCAGGGTCGGCCAAATTTAAAAAAAAAAATTATTTTCTCTTATGAAAAGATAGAGAATCTTTTCCCGATCATAACGACACCAAAAGTTTGAAATTTGATAGAAAAGGGAAATTTATCTTTTCGCAAAGTTAGCGGCTGGGCGATTTTTTACGGATCGGCGTTTTTGCCCACTTTGAGCCCCTTTTTGGGCCCAATTTCACTGTACAGTCGACAAAAAACATAATATTTCGCTAGAACCCATTTTTTCAAACAAGGGGCAAAAAACCCCACCCTTTTTATAAATTAAACTATCCAGTACAGGGTCAAATTTAGCAATTTTGCCAATTCACAAAAATTTTCAAAAGGGCCAAATTTTTTGGAATAGGTCCAGAATAAACAAGAAAGACTTTCCGGCACAAAATTTAAATTCCTCAGCTTTATCACCTAAAACCCCCCTCTTTATTCTTTTGCTTTCCCACTTTAATTTTTTTTCTCAAAAAAATAAAGATTTTTTTTTAATAAACACTGCTTAGTTAAAAAATGGTTAAATTTTAAATTGGTGCATTTGGAAAAAATATTAGACTCACCTTTTGACGTGTATTGCCGTTTGGGCACGATTTGTTTACTTTTGAATTTGGAAAAAATCAACATTTCGCTATTTTGAGCTCAATTTCAAGCACCTTTCATTGTAAAACCATCAAAATCATCTAAAATTTCATAAATGTCTTCCATTTAAAAAATGAACCAAAAAACTAGAATACAACAATAAAAACCATGAAAATACACTGCAAAGTCGCGATTTTAAAAAAAAGGGAAAAAGTTTTTTTTTCTCATTATGCACTGTGTGCTGCAGGATTTTTTTAAACTTGCACACTGACCCACAAAGACCCTTTCCCTTTAAAATTAAGGGGCCTACCAGCTTTCTCCCACTAATTTGAGGTCGCTAAATTTATGATAAGACGTAAAAAACCCCTACGCGTAAGACGACTAGTACACGAAAACCCTAAAAGGGGGAAAAAACAGATTGAAAATTTTCTGACTATTACATATGCCGAACTTCACAAACTGCATTTTTTTTTTCAATTTTCTTCCTATTAAGTTTTTTTTAGTTTTCTGGCCTAGCTGGCACAAAATAGTAGTCCGTCTCCAATTAGGGGAGGCACAAAAACCTTCACCACCCCTTGTGCGGAAACCCCACAGGGGGTTTAGCCTTTTACAAAATTTATTATTTTTTCATAATCAAGCTTATTCCAATCACATTTTAAATTTGGGGAGTGCATTTGATGCAATAATTCATTATTACCATAGGACAAACTGGACTTGATCCTGAAGTAAAAAAATTCAGTCTACACTTTAAGGATGGGTGGTTTATTGCAGTTCAGGGTCGTTTTGAACTGTGATGTCCTTGCACTTTAGCAAAAAGCATTAAATTTAATGATGGGGGAAGTGTTTTCCTTCTCTGGGCATCCTACCTTTGGAAAAGGCCTATGTTAAAAAGAAAACAAAGTGGTGGTAGGGGTAAGAATACCCCCACAACATCTCTCTTTTACACTGAAACCCCAGGAGGCCCGAAAAAAAAATCTTCAATAGGGAATCTATTATCTGCTGAGGTGGGGCTTCCCAAATTTAAATTTTGGTTGAGAGTTGTAAGAAACATTTCTGTTTCAATACTAAACAGATTTTAAATAACTGTATTTTAAAGCACCCTTTTGGCAAGAAGTGATAAGTGAAGATGGGGGAAAGTTTTTCTTTTTCGGGCCACCCTGCCTGGTGGGGAACGGCCAGTGTGATAAAAAAAATAAAATTTTTTTTAATAAATTGAAATTTGGGGCAGCAAAAAGATGGTAATACATCCATCACTTTCCACTCATAAAAACATGTTTTCATCCCCCTATGGTAGGGAATTTTTGTGAAAAATTTATTAACTGAAAAATAACTTTTCTATTATTAATCATTAAATTCTAGGGAAAATGCCAAAATTAGTGCTATACATGTTTGAAAACTTCATACAACAAAGGGCCAGGAATCGTTAGCCAACCGTGTCATGAAGGGGCCAACTGGGGACAAAACAGCTGTGGGTCTGGGAAACACACAGGAGCAAGAGAGAAAGGAACTCAAGCATTCCTTCCTCAAAGGACAAATTTATCTACCACTAAAACCTTTAGGGGTTTACAATATTATGCTCCCCCACACCGACAAAGGGAAAGAAAAATTTAAACAAAATCACTGGATTTGTTTAAAAAATAGAAAAATGCCTTTTCATACTATTATACTATTTTTTCATGTGTACCTAAAAGTTTTATTTGGGCCTACTTCTGTATGTCCTTGCAAGAAGCAAGGGACAGTAAAAAATTTTGCCTTTTTTCTCTTTTTTTTTAAATTTGTGATGACCAATATCAGTTAAAAACCTTGGCTGTAATAATATATTAATTACTAGAATAGTAGTAAAGGAGGGGTAAAATTAACACTTTCTAATTTTATTAACATATTCAGATTTTGTGGGATAAAGACAGAATGTTAAAACGGGGGGGGAAATTTGTTGGATGGTTGGGGACTTTTTGTTTTTAAATTATGAAAGAGGGAAGGACCTAGGGATTGGCAGAGAGCATGTAATCCCCCTTTTTAAAAAAGGGAAAGGGGAAAAAAAAAGATTTTAGAAATTTTTGAGGAATAAGTTTACTGATTAACCCCGGAAAAGTAAACGGTAGGTTTAAAAAATTGAAAGAATTAAGAGGCAAGACAGAATGTAGAATTGCGGATGAGCAAGGAGGCTTCAGAGTGGGTAGGGGATGTGTAGATCAAGTGTTTACATTGAAGCATATATGTGAACAGTATTTAGATAAAGGTAGGGAAGTTTTTATTGCATTTATGGATTTAGAAAAGGCATATGATAGAGTGGATAGAGGAGCAATGTGGCAGATGTTGCAAGTATATGGAATAGGTGGTAAGTTACTAAATGCTGTAAAGAGCTTTTATGAGGATAGTGAGGCTCAGGTTAGGGTGTGTAGAAGAGAGGGAGAATACTTCCTGGTAAAAGTAGGTCTTAGACAGGGATGTGTAATGTCACCATGGTTGTTTAATACAGTGGACCCCCGCATAGCGAATGCCTTGCATAGCGAACAATCCGCATAGCGAACGCTTTGTTCGCTAAAATTTTGCCCCGCATAGTGGACAAAAACCCGCTCAGCGACCTTCGTCCGAGACGCGTCCAATGTGCGCCCTCAGCCAGCCTCACATGTGCCGCCCGTCCCATTGTTTACCAGCCAGCCTCCGCGGTAACATTCAAGCATACACTCGGAATATTTCGTATTATTACAGTGTTTTCGGTGCTGTTTGTGGAAAATAAGTGACCATGGGCCCCAAGAAAGCTTCTAGTGCCAACCCTACACCTCAAAGGGTAAGAATACCCATTGAAATGAAGAAAGAGATCATTGATAAGTATGAAAGTGGAGTACGTATCACCGACCTGGTCAGGTTGTACAAGAAAACCAAAATCAACCATCGCTTCTATTGTGGGCAAGAAAACGGCAATCAAGGAAGCTGTTGTTGCCAAAGGTTTAACTGTGTTTTCGAAACAAAGATCGCAAGTGATGGAAGATGTTGAGAGACTCTTATTGGTGTGGATAAATGAAAAACAGCTAGCAGGAGATAGCGTCTCTCAAGCGATCATATGTGAAAAGGCTAGGAAGTTGCATGACGATTTAATTAAAAAAATGCCTGCAACTAGTGATGATGTGAGTGAATTTAAGGCCAGCAAAGGTTGGTTTGAGAGATTTAAGAAGCGTAGTGGCATCCATAGTGTGATACGGCATGGTGAGGCTGCCAGTTCGGACCACAAAGCGGCTGAAAAAATATGTGCATGAATTCAAGGAGTACATAGAAACTGAAGGACTGGAACCTGAACAAGTGTTTAATTGTGATGAAACAGGCCTGTTCTGGAAGAAAATGCCAAGCAGGACCTACATTACTCAGGAGGAAAAGGCACTCCCAGGACATAAGCCTATGAAAGACAGGCTTACTTTGTTGATGTGTGCCAATGCTAGTGGTGATTGCAAAGTTAAGCCTTTATTAGTGTATCACTCTGAAACTCCCAGAGCGTTCAGGCAAAAGAATGTCCTCAAGGATAATTTGTGTGTGCTGTGGAGGGCAAACAGTAAGGCATGGGTCACTAGGGAATTTTTCTATAACTGGTTACACCATGCATTTGCCCCCAATGTGAAAGATTACCTAACTGAAAAGAAATTAGACCTTAAGTGCCTCCTGGTGTTAGACAATGCCCCTGGTCATCCTACAGACGTGGCAGAGCGACTTTATGGGGACATGAGCTTCATTAAGGTGAAGTTTTTGCCTCCTAATACCACTCCTCTCCTGCAGCCCATGGACCAGCAGGTCATTTCCAACTTCAAGAAACTGTACACAAAAGCTCTGTTTCAAAAGTGCTTTGAAGTGACCACAGACACTCGATTGACTATAAAAGAGTTTTGGAAGGATCACTTTAATATCCTCAATTGTGTAAACCTTATAGGTAAGGCTTGGGAGGGAGTGACTAAGAGAACCTTGAACTCTGCTTGGAAGAAACTGTGGCCAGAATGTGTAGACAAAAGGGATTTTGAAGGTTTGAGGCTAACCCTGAGAGGAGTAGTATCCCAGTTGAGGAATCAATTGTGGAATTGGGGAAGTCCTTGGGTTGGAGGTTAGTGGGGAGGATGTGGAAGAGTTGGTGGAGGAGGACAATGAAGAACTAACCACTGATGAGCTGATAGATCAACTTCAAGAGCAAGAGGCCAGACCTGGGGAAACTGTTCAAAGGAGGGAGAGAGAAATTGAAGGAATTGCCTACTTCAAAGATTAAGGAAATGTGTGCAAAATGGCTTGAAGTGCAAACCTTTTTTGATGAAAATCACCCTCACACAGCTATTGCAAGCCGTGCTGGTGACTGTTACAATGACACTGTTGTGAACCACTTTAGACAAATCATAAAGGAACGAGAGGTACAGGCCACTATGGACAGATATGTTGTGCGAAAGAAGTCCAGTGACTCTGAAGCTGGTCCTAGTGGCATTAAAAGAAGAAGGGAAGTAACCCCAGAAAAGGACTTGCTACCTCAAGTCCTAATGGAAGGGGATTCCCCTTCTAAACACTAACACTCTCTCTCCCCTCCTCCCATCCCATCAATCATCACCAGATCTTCAATAAAAGTAAGTGTCATGTAATTGTGCATGCCTTTTTCAGTTTGTGTGTACTAAAATTAACATTTTTTTGTGGTAAAAAATTTTTTCATACTTTTGGGTGTCTTGCACGGATTAATTTTATTTCCATTATTTCTTATGGGGAAAATTAATTCGCATAGCGAACATTTCGCATAACGACCAGCCCTCTTGCACGGATTAAGTTCGCTATGCGGGGGTCCACTGTATATTTATAGATGGGGTTGTAAAAGAAGTAAATGCTAGGGTGTTCGGGAGAGGGGTGGGATTAAATTATGGGGAATCAAATTCAAAATGGGAATTGACACAGTTACTTTTTGCTGATGATACTGTGCTTATGGGAGATTCTAAAGAAGAATAGCAAAGGTTAGTGGATGAGTTTGAGAATGTGTGTAAAGGTAGAAAGTTGAAAGTGAACATAGAAAAGAGTAAGGTGATGAGGGTATCAAATGATTTAGATAAAGAAAAATTGGATATCAAATTGGGGAGGAGGAGTATGGAAGAAGTGAATGTTTTCAGATACTTGGGAGTTGATGTGTCGGCGGATGGATTTATGAAGGATGAGGTTAACCATAGAATTGATGAGGGAAAAAAGGTGAGTGGTGCGTTGAGGTATATGTGGAGTCAAAAAACGTTATCTATGGAGACAAAGAAGGGAATGTATGAAAGTATAGTAGTACCAACACTCTTATATGGATGTGAAGCTTGGGTGGTAAATGCAGCAGCGAGGAGACGGTTGGAGGCAGTGGAGATGTCCTGTCTAAGGGCAATGTGTGGTGTAAATATTATGCAGAAAATTCGGAGTGTGGAAATTAGGAGAAGGTGTGGAGTTAATAAAAGCATTAGTCAGAGGGCAGAAGAGGGGTTGTTGAGGTGGTTTGGTCATTTAGAGAGAATGGATCAAAATAGAATGACATGGAAAGCATATAAATCTATAGGGGAAGGAAAGAGGGGTAGGGGTTGTCCTCGAAAGGGTTGGAAAGAGGGGTAAAGGAGGTTTTGTGGGCGAGGGGCTTGGACTTCCAGCAAGCGTGCATGAGCGTGTTAGATAGGAGTGAATGGAGACGAATGATACTTGGGACCTGACGATCTGTTGGAGTGTGAGCAGGGTAATATTTAGTGAAGGGATTCAGGGAAACCGGTTATTTTCATATAGTCGGACTTGAGTCCTGGAAATGGGAAGTACAATGCCTGCACTTTAAAGGAGGGGTTTGGGATATTGGCAGTTTGGAGGGATATGTTGTGTATCTTTATACGTATATGCTTCTAAACTGTTGTATTCTGAGCACCTCTGCAAAAGCAGTGATAATGTGTGAGTGTGGTGAAAGTGTTGAATGATGATGAAAGTATTTTCTTTTGGGGGATTTTCTTTCTTTTTTGGGGTCACCCTGCCTCAGTGGGAGACGACCGACTTGTTGAAAAAAAAAAAAAAATATTCAGATTTAGTAATTTCAGCATCTCCCGTATTTTCCTCAGGAATATTCAGCATGCCACCGATGATAGCAGAACCAGCTGCCCTCGAGAAGTCACAACCTCAGTTGACTCCAGTCAGTGGCAGTTACAGCAAGACTAGCAATGAAGAGCCAGAGTCAGCCGAGCAGAGAGTGGTGATTCTAAAAGCACGGGTGGCTGAGCTAGAGAAAAGAGTGACTGAACTAGAGGGAGAACTGGCTGCTAAAGTAGAAACTACCTCTATATTGGAGGGTGATATCGCCAACTTAAGAAAAGAGGTACTGCAATACCACTTGTATGTGCTTAGTCATTATATTGTTTCCTGCTCTATGACTTGGTTCCTTAAACCTGTAGTACTTCTTAATTTCCAGTTCTTTGTTTCTGTGTAGAATTTGCCACTTGTAGCTGTGTCATAGGTGACTAAAATGCCAAGAGTGAAAAGCTGATTTAACCCCTTTAATTTTAATTAAGGAGAAAAAGATAGAACCAAAAGAACTAGCCTCAAAAGATATTTTGACTTCTGGCTGTGTAGGTGTATGTGGATATGTAGAAAAGAATCGATTATAGTAGTCATGCACGTTTGAATGTACATGGATATAAAGATAAGAGTTACTGTAGATCCAGCTGGGAAAGGGGTCAAGGTTACATCTATAGGAGTTCTCCGAGTTTGGGTGTTCCTACTTCACTCTTCACTCAATGGATTTTCATGTACTCTTGTAACTGTTCCTTCTCCATCTCCATCCTGTCATGATCTAGGTAGACACAACTGTAACACTGAGAGGTCTTCAAGTGTGCTTTCTATCATAGTATCCTGTCCCAAGCTATATGAGACTAAAGGGTAATTTGATGGGGCATTGTTTACTGTGGGAGAACATCTTGATCCTCTTGAAAATTTGCCATCTGCCCTAGCACTTACTCCCCTCCTGTGTACTCCATCATTGATATACTCTCCCACTCCCATCTACTACCTGGGCCACCTTCAGCCTCCTGGATTCCGTGGATAAAATCAGTAACCTCCCTCTTCCTTCCAGATTTCTTTGATTTTACCATTTCCTTTGCTGTTTCTCTTATCACCTTTTTTAGCCTCCTCATCTTCAGAGAGCATCACTGTTAGTGTTTCTTTCACTGTTCTCTCCAAACCCCTGGGCTTCCTCTCCTTCCTTCACTCTTTCTGACCCTACTAACTTCCATCTCATTTCTTTCATGATCTCCTTCAGATCTCTTACTTCCACTTCCAGTTTTAGGGCTCTGTCTTCTGCTTAATTAGCCCTATTTACCTTTTCTGCAAATTCTTCTCTGGCTTTCTTATGTACTGCCACTATACCATTTCTTCCAGCTTTAGGACCCTTTCCTTTGCCACAGTTGCCCTATTTATCTGTGATTTTTATACCTTGCTTCACTGCATATTGCTAGTTTCTCTCAGAATGGAACTGAACTCTTAAATTCCTCTCTCAGTTGGGCATTTAGGCCATCCATTATTGTTCCCAAATAGTGTCAGCTGCTTCCTTCGCTTCCCTCCTCTCCGCTAGGGTGTGAGGTGTGCTGAGGAGAAAGATTCTGTGTGGTGTTATCTGATCATAAGGAATTTTGAGCCTTAACAGAATGATTGTGTTAGGAGACAAATGTAAGTGTTTAGAGATACTCATGGAAAGCATAGTAGGGCTGGAGAAAGCTATGATTTATTGAGTGATTGTGAATGTTTCCTTTAGGTCATCCTGCATTGGTGGGAAAGGATAAAAAAAAAGTTTTGTAGGATAATAGCAAATGCTTTTTATCAAACTTTTTGTTGTTGTCAGGATGAATATGCATTTTACTGTTTTCATTTAAAAATAAAATATGTAATCTGATTAAATATCCTTTAGCTCCTTTATTTGGTATACTACAGTAGTTTTGTATTTGTTTCCAATTTTTAACACATTTGTCGTTTTCCACCAAGGCAGGGTGACCTAAAAAAGAAGAAACACCTTCATCATCACTCACTCCATTACTGTCTTGCCAGAGGCATGCCAATAGTTGTTTGATGAATATTAGTACTTTGTATATTGTATATATGTCATTCAGTGAATGACTTTTTTTCTTCCAGAATAAATCATTAGGGGTTGCCTTATTTTGCAATGATTGATTCTTGTTTGCAATAGCTTTACTTATATACATCTAATGTTTTTAAGCTACAATTTGATGTCTTGATTTCAGTTGGAAGACAAGGTAGAAAAAATAGCAGACCTGGAGGTGGAAGTGACAGAAAAGGACTTGAAAATTGATGATGTGATGCAGGAACTAGAAACACGAAACATTGAGATCCAAGCCAAGGATGACCAGATCCAAAGTCTCTACCAGGATCTAAACAGAGTAAGTCCCTTAATTAACCCTTTCAGGGTCGGCAGGCCCTCTCCTAAACTTGTTCTCAGGGTTGGAAATTTTTTGAAAAACAAAATAATTATTTTTTCTTACGAAATGATAGAGAATCTTTTCCCGATCATAATGGCACCAAAAGTACAAAATTTGATGGAAAACTTACAGAATTACGCTCTTGCGAAGTTAGCGGTCTCAACGATGTTTACGCATCGGCGATTCTGCCCACTTTGAGCCCTATTTTCAGTCAATTCCAACGTACTAGTCGACAGATATCATACCTATTTCGCTAGAACTTCATTTTTTCTATCGAATGAGTACAAGAAACTACCCATTTACCGATTTCAACTATCCAATAAAGTGGTCAGAAATTGGCAATTTTGCCAATTTCACACAAATTTCAAAAGATGCCAATTTCCAAATAGGGTCCAGAATAAACACAACAGACATTCCTGGCACTAAATTAACATTTCCTCTGTTCATTACTCACGTCCCCAGGCCTCTGTTACATTTCTTTTTGCTTTCCACTTTGAATTTTTATTCTCACAAAAAATAGAAGATTTATGTTATGCAGACTACTGCAATAGTGTAGAAATGGTGTAGAAATGGTATAAATAATATCAGCGCACTTGTGAAAGAATATTAGACTCGCCAGTTGATGTGTATTGGACGCATGGCATGATTTGTTTACCTTTGAACTTTGGCAAAAATCGAACATTTCTACTACTTTGAGCTCAATTCCAAGGTACTTTTCATTGTGAAGCCAATCAAAATCATCTCAATTTCCATAATATGTCTTCCATTCTATAAAATGAGACCAGGAAAATTAGAATACAACCATAAATAGCATACAAAAATACACTGCAAAGTCGCTGTTTTAAACCAAAAACAGTCGGATTTTTTTTTCTCATTATGCACCATGTGCTGCAGGATTTTTTTTATACTGTGCACGCTGACCACATAGACCCATTCTTTCATATGTAGCCCTACCAGCTTTCTCTCGCTAGATTTGAAGGCGCTAGAATTTATGCATACTAGTAGGGCACCAACACCGGCGTGCAAGCCGTACTATTATGGCACCAACCCTGAAAGGGTTAATATCGTCACACTGTTTGCCTGTCCTACTACACTGAACTGGTAATAGGCAACATAGTTCAGGAGTAAATTGATATTTTGTTCACAAAACAGATAATACTCATTCTCACTCTTTCTCTTTTCTTTTCTCTTTTTTCTCTCTCTCCTATATCCTTTCTACCATCCATGTCTGGCCCACCATCCACACTTTTCCCTCCACCAACCACTCCTTTGTCACTTCTCAACACCAACACCCTCCTCTTTCTCCACCACATACCTTCCTCTTTCTCCACAACCCACACCTTTCTCCCTGTCCCCACCATCCACACCTTTCTCCCTCTCCCCACCACCCACACTCCCCTCTCTTCACCTCTGTCTAGACCCACCAACTCCACCACTTGCACTACTACTACTACACCTACCACCCCACTTCAGTGACAGTGGACTTCTTTGGCAACATTTTTATTGTTAAGTAAAAGGACACAAATGCAACTAATGTGACATTTTATTTTGGCAACATTTTGCTCTTCAGGAGCCACAATAAAATGTCACATTAGTTGCATTTGTGTCCTTTTACTTAACATATTGTCGGTAATTCTACCAATATTAATACAACATTTTTATTGTTCCTAAAAGTCCATAGTCCTTAATGGTGCTCAAGAAAGGAAGTATCTGAAGAAAAAGGCAACCAAAATATTGATACATATGATATATTAAATAGATACTTTTTACCCTCTTAATTTTAGTATAAATATCTGCATATATCTAATGTTAATTTATCGTCCTGTAGGTTGAGCCAGAAATAGAAGTCAAGGTACAGGAAATTGTGGAACGTGACCGAATCATTGAGGAAAAAATAGAACAGATAGAACAACAGAACAAAATTCTGGTAGAAATTCAAATTACATTAGATGAGAAACAGAAACAAATTGCTGATATGGAACACAAGATTACAGAGTCCAGTGAAAAGATAAAGAAACTCACGGAGAAGCTTGATAAGTCCTGTAAAGTTATTCAAGTAAGTATATTATTATTATTACTTCTATTTTTTTATACCTCATTGGCCACTGCCTTCCAAGGTATTATTAATTTTTCATAGAGCAGTGCTAAGCTATGGAGTATGGAGACACAATTTGAAGTTACTTGTTTAAACGAGACATGGGGATACTGAAATGTTATGAGGGTTCTTTGATGGAGTGACGGTAGCAAGGGAAACAACTGTAGACTCCTTCTTTCAACAAACCGGCTGTATCCCACCGATGCAGGGTGGACCAAAAGCTTCTCCTTTTAAATTTAGTAATATATACAGAAAGGGTTACTAGCCCCTTGCTCCTGGCATACACAGCTTACGGTGGAAGAATTCTGTTCCACTTCCCCATGGAGAACTGTAGACTTACAAGGCGTTGTATTGGTATTCGTAGAGGAGCCCAGCCTATCGTGTCTGCCCACTTGCTATGCCTGGTCGAGTCTGAGGCAGAGGCCTGTAAAGGACGGCCTATATGCAAGGGGTAGGTCACATGACTAAGGCTTGGCCAGGAAGCCTGCTTATTAATGTTACTAGGAGGTTTTGTGGGCAAGGGGCTTGGACTTCCAGCAAGCGTGCGTGAGCGTGTTAGATAGGAGTGAATGGAGACGAATGGTACTTGGGACCTGACGATCTGTTGGAGTGTGAGCAGGGTAATATTTAGTGAAGGGATTCAGGGAAACCGGTTATTTTCATATAGTCGGACTTGAGTCCTGGAAATGGGAAGTACAATGCCTGCACTTTAAAGGAGGGGTTTGGGATATTGGCAGTTTGGAGGGATATGTTGTGTATCTTTATATGTGTATGCTTCTAAACTGTTGTATTCTGAGCACCTCTGCAAAAACAGTGATAATGTGTGAGTGTGGTGAAAGTGTTGAATGATGATGAAAGTATTTTCTTTTTTGGGTCACCCTGCCTCGGTGGGAGATGGCCGACTTGTTGAAAAAAAAAAAAAAGGAAATAGTATATATATGTATAATACTTTTTTTCTTCTTTTAACAAACCGGCCATATCCCACCAAGGCAGGGTAGCCCAAAAAGAAAAACAAAAGTTTCTCTTTTTAAATTTAGTAATTTATAGAGGAGAAGGGGTTACTAGCCCCTTGCTCCCGGCATTTTAGTCGCCTCTTACAACACGCATGGCTTACAGAGGAAGAATTCTGTTCCACTTCCCCATGGAGGATGTTGATAGGAAAACATTTTTCAACGCAGAGTAATCTTCTTTCAACACACCGGCCGTATCCCACCGAGGCGGGGTGGCCCAAAAGGAAAAACAAAAGTTTCTCCTTTTACATTTAGTAATATATACAGGAGAAGGGGTTACTAGCTCCTTGCTCCCGGCATTTTAGCAGCCTCTTACAATGCATGGCTTACAGAGGAAGAATTCTGTTCCACTTCCCCATGGAGGTAAGAGGAAGTAAACAAGAACAAGAACTAGAAAGAAAATAGAAGAAAACCCAGAGGGGTGTGTGTATATATATATATATGCTTGTACATGTATGTGTAGTGTGACCTAAGTGTAAGTAGTAGCAGCAAGATTTACCTGAAATCTTGCATATGTATGAGACAGAAAAAAAAAGACGCCAGCAATCCTACCATCGTGTAAAACAATATAGGCTTTCGTTTTACACTCGCTTGGCAGGACGGTAGTACCTCCCTGAGTGGTTGCTGTCTACCAACCTACTACCTAGGAACACACACTAATACCGTAGTCAAATAATCCGAACAGTGATGTTGGACGTAGACTCCATAGGAGGTGCTAAGAAGAAAATTGACTAACATGCCAAATGTCACTTATTGTGAAAATTGCTTACAAACCTTTGCAACATAAAGAAACCCAACAAATTCACAAAGTGTCACCTTTGAGAAGGTTACCCTCAAACATTTGCACCATCACCTTGGTAACCAACCATACAATTTTGATTAAACTGGTCTTATTTTAAAGACTGATGAACATTTTTGTATAGAAATGCAGATTTCATTCACTAAACACATTTCACTTACTGGTGAGTTTGTTGGTTTTCCTAGGTCCTCATCTATGGGGTTAAAAAAAATAGGTGTGACAACTGAAAGTAAAAAGGGAGGACCAAAAGCTAGAGCTGACCTTGCTGTCATTGTAAAGTAATGCATTGCTCCTGCTTCAGTGACTAGCAAGCAGGGGTAGAAAGAATATAATATCCTGTTTGAGTGTGAAGGGTGGGGAAGGATGAGCTTGCAGCACATGGGCCTGCTTTTAACTTTTGACTTATGTAAAATAGCCTTGTTATATCTATTTATGAAGTTTGTATGGCAGTCTGCTTCCACTGTGTTATGTTCAATTCATTTCATCATCACTTTTATACTGAACAAGTATCGGTGGATATCTTGGAGGCTCAATGGAGTGAGTAACTGCAAATTACTACAACCCATTTTAATTGACTGAACCTTATTAAAGAGCCTACCCTTCTATTACCTGAAGTATATTTTGTAATAAAATCCTATTATGCTCTTTTTCAGAAATAGGAGACTTAGTTCTTGCATTATTTCTTCATGGGTCAATGCACTACTTGGAATGTTCTTAAATTTAACTTTGTATTTCACTAGGAGAGTCCCATTACGTGATGCATGCTCAAGAATGGCTTTACGTATCAAGTATATTATTATTCTTACATTAAAAAAGAAGACAGATGCTAAACCCATATGGGTCATATTGTCGAAAATTACGTGTGTATTTTGGTAGTGGGAATGAATGATACTCTTCGGAAGGCTGCTAAGTTACTATATTTGGGTTCTTGGTACACAGGCAGTGTGTTTAAGTTGTCCAAGCCCAAAGAGCCATGCCTGGGAGAGAGGACTGAGTAGACCTTGTTGACTGATTTAGGTCGACTGCCAGAGTGAGACAGGCTGAGCTGGGTTGGCCTATAGGTGGCAGCACCAGCATAGCACGAAATATGAACCCAGCTGCGCATACATCGCTCGGCCACTTACCCATGGTCGTCCTCGACCATGATTGACTAAAAAAAAAAAAAAACTCAATCTCTCTCAGGAACAAGGCACAGAATGAAAACATATATATACAGCCTCTTCTCACTTAACAACGGAGTTCCGTTCCTAAGACCACGTCGTTTAAAGAATTTGTCGCTGGGTGAGGAGCATACTGTAATGGTAGTGAGCTTGTGTCAACCATCTTTGATATTGTTTTAATGTTACCTTTGTACCATTTATAACATTTCTTATGCATTCTTAAATATTTATACAGTAGTGTACTATATATTGAAATAAACAGAATAGAGGAAATCAGCTCTAATATACATACTAATATTTACGTATAAATACTGATCAGAGAGCCCGTCGCAAGTCCAAGGCGTCGGTGAACGAGCACGTCTCTAAATGAGGAGAGGCTGTATGTACATGTGGACATGGACAAAAAAAAACTTCGTACAGGGAGGGGAGAAAAAAAAGCGGGGGGTGGGGGGGGGTGCTAAATATCATGGTCCAAGGCAGTGAGCCTCAGCAGGCGTCACTGCGTTTTGACAAATACTGCACCACAGAAGACATTGCTATGGCTGAGCTGTGTTGTAACAAGGTACTGTCTCTGGAACAGTGAAGCAGTCATCATGGAGTAGTCACTGCAGGATTCACTCATCCTGATGCACAACCTGCTGGTGCCCTTAAGTGAGGTGTCATCAGTACTTGACAACTGGGCAGGACTACTTCTGGCAGCAACTCAGGAGGACATTTCTCGACTGGTACTGTCACTGGCTGTCACTTCCGACGAGTGAAGTGAGTCATAGCAGAAACAACTCAGGCAAGAGTGGTAGCAGCATTTACCATAACTGGAGTGAGCGGGCTAGCAGTCAAAGTAACATTATCCCTGTGCAGGGTGCTCACCGAAGCTGTGACATGAGTCAGACAGTCACCTGCTGACAGGGCTACTGCGGCATGATGATGTCATCCTCTTGACAGTTGGAGTCATAGCAGAGGTTGATTTAAGCATCCTCAGACTGGTTTTCTACACATAACTGCACTCTGACGGTCAGGAGGTGGCGTGAAAAGTCTCAACAGGGAGTCATAGTAGGTACGACTCAGGCATGGTGTCTACGAGCAGCGAGCATAAGAGCTTTCTGTACATGAGGGCTCAGACACTCATAACCTGATGCCTGGATTGACTAAAATCAGCTGTCAGTCACAATGTATGACATGTAACACAAGGGTGTTACCAATAGTCTGGGTTCAGACCACACTGGTCTACACATACATGTGGACTCAGACCACACATTGGGACACATGGAAAACTGCACACACCCACACTGCACGTGCAGTTACAACATGGCTTGCACTAGCAAAAGATGCTTTTCTGTGCAAAAATCAACACTAAAACATTTACGAACATTGAAAAAACTAGTAAGGAGCACTGACTGAGAGGAATTAACATGTGACATATCTTTCAGTCCTCTCGACACTGCAACAAATTGTTCACTGTGAAACTGTAACACTGTCGATGTAACTTCATGTGGTGATGTTAGGCGTGATGTCGTGGGGTGACATTAGGGCAGATGTCACGGGTGGTGTCGGGCAGACGTCCTGGTTGATGTCGCGAGGTGACATCCTGGAGTGATGTCGGGGCAACAGTAACGTCAGGGCAAACGTCATGAGGTGGCATTGGGCAGACATCGTGAGGTGACGTCGGGCAGACGTCCTGGGTGACGTCGGGCAGACATCCTTTGGTGATGTTGTGGGGTGATGTCATGAGGTTACATCAGGCAATGATGTCAGGCAGCAGACAACAACATGTGGCTTTCAACACCTGCCTTGTTAACCCATGTGGCTTGCTTCACGTGGCCTTATCCACACGTGGCTTTGAGTGACCTTGGGCACTCGGATACACAGCTCTGGCGAGAATTCACACTGCATTCAGAGAAAAACAGCAGAGAAGGTGTGAGATAGGTGTGGGCGAAGCGGGGACTCCACCACTCCTCCCTCCCGTACTCACAAACACATGGAGAAACAACACACTGGATGCAGAGCACCACACAACTCGCCTCTGACTTGCTGAAATAGCCTTGCTGAGCTGAACAACAATGACAGCAGAAACACAGGTAACTCTGAACACATGACTGAAGAACATCGTGGGATGCTGTGAAGACCAGGTGATGCCACGAAGATTTCTCAAGGAAAATTCAGCAAATTTCGGCCTGGATCCTGCTGATCCTGTGTCTGAATGATGAAACTTGCAGACACGACTTCAGGACAACTCATAGAGAGATGACTGCTTCTTGTATGGGGCGATGAAGTGGAGACAACATCTTCATGCTTCTTCCTTCCTCTCTCGTTGATTGATTTGGGTGCTTTGTCCAAGCGGGGTCAATAATAAAGCTTTGGAGGCAATGTGTAGTTTTATTGGGGCTCTTGGTACACAGGCAGTGTATTTAAATTGCACAGGCCTGAAGGGCCATGCCCAGGAGGGACGGAGTAGACCTTGCTATCACCTGCCAGAGTAAGACAGGGTAAGTGTGGTGCAGGCTGAACTGGGTAGGTCTATAGGTGGCAGCACACCAGCATGGCGCAGAATATGAACCCAGATGGGCATACAGTGTGCCGAAGGTGGGACTTTTGGAGAAGAGGACTATTGAAGTCAGTACATCTGCATATCAGATAATGAGTGTTTCTAAAGTGTCTATCTAACTTTTTAATGGCATGCTGAAACTTGAGCTTAGCATGTGCTCGTAATCCTGTGTGTTTGTGTGTCATGGGACAGGTATGGAATGCAGTAATGATTATTTCTAGGCCTTTATTTTTAAAGGTGTAAGCTTTTACGGTAGACCATTATATTGCACGGAAGTTACGTTCCTGAAAACGCCGTGTAAGGTAAAACCGTGTTAGATAAACTGAAGAACGTATGGGAAAAATAGGATTATGTTCCAGGGAGCCCCCGAAAAGTCAAACAACTTTTTTTTTAAACCAACAGATCCACCAACAACCATCCACCTCAGCTCTACTGGGCTGAGGTGGCTGGTTGTTGGCAGAAGTGGATGGTAGAGGTTCTGGTACTAAAGTTAATGGTTGTATTGGAGTGTGCATAAATTCTGTAATGGATTTCTGGGCTCTTTTACTGCAGTACATTATAAAGCTGTTGGTAAGGCATCATCAGCTGATCTAGACCCCGTTTCAAAGCACTGCATATAGATTTGTTAGGGTCCTCTTCAGTGAAAGTCTGCTAGTTTAGCAGCAACATGGAACTGCTCACGTAACTGCTGCAGTGTTAACTCTTTTTCTTCAGGTTCTTCTTCATCTTCTGTTATGTGGCTCCCTTGTATCTGTGCATTGAGCTCTGCCAACATTTCCTTTGAACTCCTGTCTTCATCATCATCATCTAAGAGCTCATTCACATCTTCATTCATATCTTCAAAACCATCACCTGGTAATCTCCTTGACATCTGAAAAATTTCCTGAACCTGACTCTCAAGCAAGGAAAGACCAGTGAAAGAATTAACCACAGAATGCCATAATTTTCCCCAGCCATGATTGCTTGGCAGATACAAGATATAGCAATTAAAAGATCTAAACTCAATATCCCATTGACTCAGTGGGTTAACCCCACAGCCAGGCAGAGGCCTGAGTTGGGGAAGTATCACGCAGGTGACGCTCCAAGTATTTTCCCCTCCGTAAACCAAACCGTGTTAAGCTAATTTTACAAAGTGTTGTATAAAATTGTGCAGCAATTTTTCAATAGTGCAATAACCAAAACGTGCCAAATAAAACCGTGTAATACAATAGTCTACTGTATATTCCTTAGAAGAAACTCTGTCTTCATTTCCCTTGCCCCATCTTCTAGCATCATAATTTACTTTGTATTATAGTAATACTAAATTATCTTTTTCAGACATTTGCAGAAGAAGCTCAAGCTCGTGATAAGGAAATTGTATCGCTGAAGAAAGACATAAAACGTAAAGAGAAAAAAATTAGAGATCTTGTGGCAGAACTCAAAGAGGCTCTTGACATGCTAAATAAGGCAAAATGGGAAGCAGAGACAAGTGGTGGTGAAGATGGAGTAAAGGAAATGGCAGAAGAGGAGAATGAGGTAAGCAGCTTTGCATATGCTGAGAATGTGCCACTTGATAGCAAAGGGTCTAATGCATGGAGGATGGAAGACAATGCCAGTAGGCACCCAGCAAGAAAAACTGGATTCCATGAGCAGTCACAGCAGCCTACTTACAGCACAGTAGAGTTTATCCAGAAAGTTAATAACAACCGTTATTTTTTTAGTTCTCCATCAGATCCTATTCCAATATATGTATCTCCACCTCAGTCGCCTGCTACTTTACACCATAATGTTAGATATCAACTTTTGCATCCCAAAAATGATTTGTCATGAGCATGTTTGCTGAGTTGCTTTCTTGAGCTTATTTTCTTTAATAGCTGAATTTTTTAAATACATAGGCACTTTTTTTCAAATGGTAGTTTTTAATTGAACTGTTAGGAAAAACAATCAGTGTTTTGTTTTTTGTTATATGTTAGTGTTCCTTCATTTTTTGCCAGAATAAAAAATTTTACAGTTAATAATTCTTTTTTTTTAAGCCTTGCATGATTGCAATTTCAGTGAAAATGTTAAAGAGGAAGACAGTCATGTGCCTTTCATCTGCTTGCTTGAAATGCTAATTTGGAACTAATTTTTACAGAAATTAACATTATCAGGTAAGCAAATTTTAAAGAACATTTCTTTGCCGACATATTCAAAGAACTCTTGACTTGTATCACAATATTAAATTTGTATTTTTTCTGCAGCGGCTGTGGGCAGAATTGGAGTCTCGCAAGAATGAGGTACTAGCATTGCGTGCAGAACACAAACACTCCCTGTCTGAGGCTGAGGAACGTGTGCATCATCTTCAAAAACAATTAGAGGAAAAAATAAAAGCCCTTGAAAGTCAGCAAGACAAACACAATAAGGAGACTGAGGAACGGGAGGCACGTCTACGTGACCAGACTCAGCAGGTGGTACAACTTGAGAGTGAACTTCAGGCACTTCGTGGTGATATGTCAAGTAGGGAGGGACAATTGCGCACTAATCAGGGACTTGTCCAAGGCTTAGAAGATGAGTTAGCTGTAGCCAAAGATCAGCTGAAGGAGAAAAAGGCAGAACTGGAAGCTCTTCAGGAAGAGCTGAAAAAGAAAAATAATGATATGCAGGATTTGGTGAATCATGAATTATGGGAAAGGAATAGGGAAATAGAACGTCTTCAGGAAAAGCTTAGTGCCTTAACATCAGATCGCCGTAATCAAATTGAGTGCTTGAAAGACGAGTTAGAAACCAAGAACAACAAACTGAGGAGAATGAAAGCCAGATTAAACTGTGAAACGACTGGAAATATTGACAGTAACCAAGCAGCTTTATGCCCTAAATCTAATGGCAGTCAGTCAGCAGTAACTCCTACAACAACGGACCAACCCAAGAATGCTGCCCATCTGACAGTTGTTACAGGATCTGGAGGTGATGTAGTTACTGTAAACCGTCCATTACATCTAACATTCACTGATGATAACTCTGCTTCTGTGCAAATGCTCTATCAAGAAATGAGCAAAGTAAGAGGTGAGGCACAAGCTCTACGCTTGGAAAGAGGCATCTTAAATGACAAACTTTCAAGTTTACAGAAATTGTATGATCAAGTTTGCCGAACAAATAATGCACCACGTACTAATGAGCACATTGAGTCCCATAAAGAGCAACTCGAGGAAAGCAGAGAGGAAAATTTGGTAAAGGACCGGAAGCATGTAGAAATAGTCAGTGATTTTCATTCTCAGGTACAAGTTCTGCGCACTGAACTTCACAATGCAAAGAAAAAAATTAACCGGCAGTTAACAGAAGTTAGTGTTCGCAAATACCAGGAAGCTCTGAAAAGACACAAGCAAGAAATTGCCTCTCTACGAAAGCGGTTAGCAGATTCGCATAATGCATGTGATCTACTCAGAACTCGATTAGAGGAGCTAGCAGACTTCTTAGAACGCATTCTAGAAATGGAGGAGAAAGGTCTTATTAACTTGAGTCAGATGTCTCCAAAGCAGTTGGCCTTATTACAGAAAACACTCAATGAATCTCGTGCTCTTTCTCGATCATTGTCGCAATCACTAATGATCGGTATGGACTTCACTGATCATGGTGATGATACACATCTCTCTAGCTCAGTTAGTTCAGTATCTTCTTGGAGCCTACAAAGAGATGATAGTTTTTCTGAAACACTAGATTATTTAGGAGCTAGCAGTCATGAAGCCTTAGCTAGTCTTCCTGATGAGACTTTGTTACAGCCAGAGGATTCCCATGATTCAGCTGTTCAAGCACTTGCTGCACAGTTCAACACTCAAATTGACCAAAAAGCACGAGAAATTGATGCCATTGCTGAGAATGTGTCAGAGCTTAGCGAAAAGCTAGCAGAGAGAACACAGCAGGTAGAGATACAAGCAGGAATAATTGGTGAACTACGAGGGCAAGTGAGTCACCTTCAGGATGAAATACGATGTAGAGACCTTCAGCTTCTTACACTTCAGGCTGATCAAACTAAAGACAGCCAATGTGCTCTCCACAGTTCTTGGCAGAGTAGTATAAACCCTTTAGCAGCATCCTCTCAGAGCACTGTGCATGCTGTATCCCCTCAGACTACATTGCTAACCCATAATTCTAGCAGTCAAGAAAGTATTCACAAGTCCCTAAGTAATTGTTCTGACTCGTTGCCTCCACCCCCTCTGCACCTTCTTCAGGATAGCGAGTGTGAAATCACACCTGATATCCGGGAGTTGGAGATTTGTCATGCATCAGATCGTAGCAGCCTGAGTGCAGTCAAGAGTGCATATTCTACTGATGCAGCTATCAAAGCATATAGTGGACACCTAGGTTACTTTCAGCAGCATGTGACACCTGGTAAACAAAATTTGGATGAAGGACTGAAACCACTGGGAGAAAAGCCCAGCGTGTCAGTTAGCTGTGTAATACCTGAACAGCCTTGGGTACCAGTTTCTCCATCTGAGAGTGGGGCATGGAGTGACCTGAAGAAATGTTTTTAAAAGAATTGGACTTGATGTTTGTACATTTGTGGGTGAAACGATAAGCTTTATCAAATCTCGTCAACAGAGAGCTTGCTGCCTTTCCCTCAGAATCTTTTGTGAGGCTGCACATGAAGACACTGCTACTGCATGCTAGCAATGCACCTACACCAGGAAAAGTCCCCCAAAAACGCGCCTGAGTTGCAGAACAAAACGGGTATCTAAAAAAATTGCGTGCCATAAGAAACGAATGACACCCCTTTCGTGCAAAATTGAACAATATCAGACATTAAGTCAACAAATAACTCATCAACGCATACCAACAACAAGGCCTAAACTAGTGATAAAAGTGTTGAAACACAAAAAGGGAGAGACAGCAAATGCCTGGGTGGGGGTGCGAAGAGGGACCTAAAATTACCACTACCTCCACTAACATTTGTTGTCCCGCACCTCTCTTAATAAATTGTGCATGCGCTGAAGCGAAGGGCAATTGTAAAAATGACCACCTTGAGATAAATGGAACAGCTTTAAACAGAATCCTCAAGATAAAAGCCCGATTTCATCACTTACTGCTGTTTTAAACGGGTAAATATTTTGTTACAATACCCAGTTTTAAAAAATTTGTGAAATTTTATTATTTATTTTCAAAATTGAAATTAAATTGGTATTAAAAAAATTTTTTAATAGTTTATTACACAAAAAAAGCCAATAATTATAAAGACACAATTCAAGTGGATTTTTAAAAGAGTATAGTTAATAAAAAATTCCCCTATCTTTTCAGACTGCTCGGAAAGAAATGCTGATGCAAGAATAGATTGCAGGGGTCGCGGGAATGGGTTTCGTGGAAACAAGAAAAATATAACAAAATACAGCTGAAACCCAAGATGGAGACCCTTTAAAACTCAGTTTTTATTTGAACTAGAACCCTCACAAAAGAAGCATCACTGTTCAAGCTATTTTTTTAATCTCATAACCACAAACGAAAGACTTGCTCGTGCAAAACGTGATGCTCACTAGCAGAGAGAGAGCAAATCAAAAAGATAGAGTGACCAAATTTCCACTTAAAAAAGATGCTCCCAAAAAAACCAGATAGGTAAACATGGCAGAAATTACATTTTTAGAACTAAAAAACAAAATCACGTCACTCCAAGTCAAAAAAAGAGCGGTTTTCTTTTGTTGGAGAGCGTGTTCCCTACGGGGCACAGCTGGCCTCTGCCTACCGGCCGTTTGCTTCGGGAGGGAAAAACCATGAATGAAGGTGTGGGTAAAGAGTGTATTTCTTTATTCACAGCGTGTAAGGTGCTACAGTTTTCAACCCTACAGCAGGAGCGAAACGGGTTCTACGGACAAGGAACATCTTGAAAGGGGAAATGCAGATCAAAAAGAAGAAGAAACAAGCTTGCAAAAAAAAAATTAACCATCTGATGTTCCATCAGCTTATGTTGGGAAAACAAGCTGCAGTAGAGAAAAAGGATAGGCAGAGTTAGAAATGAAACATTTAAATGAGTGTAAAATGTGGTTGGGAAAGGGTTAAATTTTGAAGTAGTTTTGGGGAGTTTAAGAAAAGGAAAAAAAACAGAAGTCACAGCTTTATTTAATGAAAAAAAAAGACTTGTAAAGAAAACTAACTGCAAAACTAGTTTCTGAACGTTGTCTCACCGCAAACCTCCGTTCAGTTAAAGGGCCCTTCGAAGAAGTACATCACCAGCCAGTCCCAAAAGGTGAGGTGAAAGTGCAAAACCAGGGGGTTTTTTAAATTAAAATTTTTTTATGTGATAAAATAAAATGGGTGACAGTTTTCCCCAAAAACCCTAGGTACCTTTTCCTTTCCCACTGCATGCATATAATGAAAAAAATACCCAACCATAAAACTATATCCCCCCAATTTTAAAACATTTCTGTTTGTTTTTAGTAAGACACATATGAAACATTTAGGTAATTTCAAAATTTTTTGCCCTACACAGTAGGCTTCTTCAGTAGTCTGAAAAGTTGATAGACCAGAAGAGACTTAAGAGGGAAAACATTTTTATCACCCTTGAAGTATTGTTTCAGACTATGGAAAAATACTCTTCCCAGACGGGGACTTACCACCTCAAAACTTCAAGGGTGATGGACTGATTACATCGTCTTCAAGTCTCTTCTGCTTTTTATAAACTTTTCGTACTCGACGAAAAGCCTACTTTGGGCAAAACGTTTTTTTTAAAACTGTTGCATTTTTCTTATCTAACAACCTGTCGTTTTAAAATGCCCCATTTTAATGTTCAACATTTCTGTTTGACCTGTATCCCAGTTAGTTTACCCCTTTTCATTCTATCGCTGTTTATCACTACCCCATTATTCACAACCTCTCTTCCTTACTCCTACAGACTGTTGCACATCCCTGCCCAGTACTAAAATCACTGCCTCTCGTTTCTTCAACATTACAACTCCTTAAAAATAGTCCCTCCATTTTTCCAATACCTCCACCCTTCCCCCTTAATTTCCCCACTTTTTAAAAGCTAAATTCATTTGTTTCCTAGATTTTTCCAACTCTTTAATATCTTTTTCTCAGCAAAAATTTTTTTGATGAAACTCTATCCACCTCCTGGGGCTTCCTCTTTCACCCCCCCCCACTTTTTAATCCTTCTTACTTCCATGTACGTTTATGCCCTTGTAATCACTTCTACATTGTAAAAACTCTATATCTAAATTTTTCTTTTTTACCACCCCATTACCTATCATTCCCCACTCATTCCTTATCAAACCACACCTGCTATCCCCTATCCCTAAACAAAAAGCACCGACCTACATCCTTTAGTCTAATTACCTCCTTACTTACCTTCTCCTTATTACCTTACTCTTAGCCCCCCTTTTCCCAATAGGGTTTTTATATATACCCAAAAACTATCCCTTTAATATATTAAATTTATTCACTTTTGCACATGATGACATTTTCCCCTTTTACCCCATCTTCCTTTCTTTCTTTCTTTCAAACCCGCCCTACCCACCGAGGCAGGGGGGCCCAAAAGGAAAAACGAAAGTTTTTTTCCTTTTTCTTTTGTAATATAAAGGAGAAGAGGGTTTCTAGCCCCCCCTTTCTCCCCATTTTAGTCGCCTCTTACAACACCATGGCTTACAAAAATTTTGTTCCAAAAAACCCCCCCCTGGAGAAAGAGGGGGTTTTTTTTTGAATAAAACAAAAAAGAAAATAGAAGAAAACCCAGAGGGGGTGGTAAATGTGCTTGTACATGTATGTTTTATGGACCTAAGTGTAATTAAAGTACAAAACGTACCTGAAATCTTTCATTTCATGAGACGAAAAAGGGCACCAGCAAACCCCATCATTAAAACAATTACAGGCTTTCGTTTTACACTTTCCTTGGCAGGGCGGGAGTACCCCCCTGGGCGGTTGCGTCTACCAACCTACTACCTATACCCCCATCTTCTCACGACAAAAAAATGAGCTGATAAACTTTGACCCCCCAAAAAAAAATAAACATTCAAATCTACCCCCCTCAAAAATTTATCTACAAATACAAGTCCCAAAACTGTAATTGCTCCCCATATCTTGTAAATTATTTTTCCTTTTTTTTTCCTTTAAAAATTTATTGCCCTTACAAAAATCCTTTTTTATAATTTGGGGACCCCATTATCTTTTCCCCTGGCACCCAAAAATTACCTACTGTTTATCCACAAACAGTTTTCCGCTGTAAACTTTTGGTCTCCCCCAACCATTTTTTTTCACTTGGTTCAAAGCTCCCCAAATTTTGCACCTCCTAAAATCCTTTTACACACCTTTCTCCTTATTCTAATCCACGGGAATTCTTAAATTTAAACACCTATACCCCTTTCTTCCCTTGTTCTCTCAGATACACCCCCCTAAAACCCCCTTTACTTTTTATTGAAATTTCCCCCTCCCCTTTCCCTTTCAGCTTATTTTCTTCGAATTTTATTCGATCTGAATAAAAAAACACAGATTCAAACAACCCAAAATTTTTGGTTTTAGTAATTTTAAAAAGAAGAGGTTACTTGTTCCGCATTTTAGTTCCTTGTAAACATACATTGCTTTTGGAGGAACACTCTACCCTCTTTCCCCCTGGGATTAAAAAGAAATAGTACCGCCAAAACAAAACTACAAAGAAATAAGTAGTTTAAGTTTGACGAGTGCATATAAAATACTCGGTATGTGCACAGTTGCATGCATCGTATGAATGAGTGTAAGAGTAATAGCAAAATGTACTTTCTTGTCATCTTATGAGACAAAGAAAAGACTGAGAAATACTACCGGGGGTGCAACAAATTTAAGGTTTCTGTCAACACCATTTTGGGAGGACTGTAGTACCTTCCTGGGGGGTTGCTACTTACCCAAAGTATTAAAACCCTTAAAGGTCCCCAAACGTATTATACTTTTTTTTTAAAATCTGAAAGATGAAAAAAATTAATCTTTTTTTTAGTTTTACATGTGAAAAGTTAAAAAAAAAAAATTTTATCTACATTTATATATATATATATAAATAATTAATTATAAATATTGGCAGTTTAGGGATATGTTTTTATCATTACATATTGCTTTTAAAAGTTGTATTCTGAGCACCTCTGCAAAAACAGGATAAGTGTGAGTGGGTGAAAGTGTTTAATGATATGAAAGTATTTTTTTTGGGGGTTTTTTTTTTTTTTTTTGGGTCACCCTGCCTCGGTGGGGACGGCGACTTTTTGAAAAAAAAAAAAAAAATAATATAATATTATATATTAATATATATAATATATATATATATATATATAAATATATAAAATATATATTAAATAATTTATATATATATATATTTTTTTTTTTTCAAAGTCGCCGCCCCACCCAGGGAGGGGGACCCCCAAAAAAAGAAAGAAAATCCCCCCAAAAAAAAAATACTTTCATACATTCAACACTTTCACCACCTCACACTTATCACTGCTTTTCAAGGTGCCAAATACAAAAGTTTTTGAAGATATATGTATAAGATACACAACAAATTTCCCCCCAAA